AAAACTTTTAGAATAATTAGGATCAATTTTGGTCCTAATAATCAGTAAATTATATTTTATTTGAGATTTTATAAAATTGGTAATTTGGGGTTTGCTCAAGCGAGATGTTACATTGAGCTTTCTCAGTGTATCATCCAAGTAATGTAGTCAACTCCTAATTTTATGTATTTCACTGAATTATGATCTAATAACAAATATAGCCACTCTACTTTTTGGTGTAGAGGTAAGGTCTGCTTACATCTTATCCTCCCAAAACCCCACCTCCAGATGGGATAATACTGGGTTTGGTTTTAGCCGTCTTCTACTCTCTTGAATATTGTTCATGTGCGTGTAACATCTTATCTAGTTTCTTGTGCCAATTTGTAATACTTATTTGTTATTTGTGCACTTAATGCAGGTTGTTCCTCTTAGTGCAAGGAAAGCTACCGGAGGATATGCAAAAGGTTGCACCTTTTCCACAACTTCCTCATTATAACAAGGCCGTGATGGAAAAGATAGCCCACAAGGTAAAATATTTTATATCTGTTTGTTTCTTTCTCCACCTATAGGCACATAGGACTCTGCTCAATGGCAAGTGTTGGTTACACATATTTGCAGCCAACTAATTTATGATGGCCAGATAGGCAAATGAAAAACAAGGATTCAACATTTATACTCTATCAACTCGTTACATGATTAGATTGAGTGCAAATGTTTCAGATTTAGGATAGTTTGATTGATATCTCAGACGCACATACATGATGGATGCCTTCACTTTTCTTTCTGGATTTGTTTTACTTACAATTAGAGTCGTCCTTGTCTACACTATAGTCTCGTTTATGTAAAATTTGTAGTTCAGATGGAATTATATTATTCAGTGTTGGGTGAAAAAGACAAACCAATTAAATTGGTTTATATTGGAGTCTCATATCAACTAGACATAGACCAACAAACTTGTATCAGAGCCTGGTTCTAGCACCACATAGGGACTCAAGACACAGAGCCTGGTTCTAGCACCACATAGGGACTCAACACACTCTTTCGCCCCTATTACTGGAGGCACCATCTAGCTTCCATTTGAGGGGGAGTGTTGAATTCCACGTTAGCTAGACACAGAATATCAAACTTGTACACACATATAGGGTTAGGTCCCGATGAGAATGGTAAGAAAGGATATCCACCCTTGGATCAATCCTTAATTGAAGAATGAAGATCAACACTAATATGGTGCATCGAAATACAGCGGATCAATTCTTGTGATAAGTGCAATTCATGAGGTGGGGTAAGAATTAAAGTTATCAACGGTTCAAATCCCTTCTCACTTTGACCCCTATTTTCACACGATCCTTTGTCTCTATATATAGAGAGAGAGGGAGTTGGGTTCACGTGAGACAAGGTTGTTTACGTGATACACATGGAACAACATATATATATATATATATATATGTGAATCTACCATCCATCTATAAGCACTCCTTTTGAAAAGTAATCTAACATGTTCTCACAATTTGAGTTTGTTGTTGCAAGCGAGAAGCCTTCAGGAGCTCCACACATGCCAATCGAGGTCCGTGCTGAGTTGCTTTCTCAAGCTGCTGGTTTCTCCGAGGCAGAAGTCCAAGATATAGAGCTGGTAATCTGCATGATGCCTTCCATAACAGTTGAAGTCACTTGTGGGACTGAAGGTGAAGAGGGTGTACAAGAAGGTGGCATAATCACAGTTCAAGCTTGGTGGGCCTGCAACAAACCAACAGTTTGGTCCGTACTCTTCCCCATGTGCAATTCTACCCTTTCCACAAGGAAGAAAAATTGTTGGTTTCTTCTCGCCGATGAGAACTCAAACAATGTCTGGTTTTCCCAAAAAGTAAGCTTCATGGACGAAGCATCCGCTGTCACCGCGGCTTCGAAAGCCATCGAGGAAACAATGGAAGGGTCAGGGGCAAACGCGAAGGAAACCAGTAAAGCGGTAAGAGAAGCGGTGGAGAAAGTGAAGAGCGGCTCGCGGCTCGTGATGGGGAAGTTCCAAGCCCCAGCTGAAGGGAACTACAATTTGAGTTGTTTTCTGCTTTGTGATTCTTGGCTGGGTTGTGACAAGAAGACCGGGGTGAAAGTGAAAGTGGTGAAATAGACTCAAACAAATTTTTATATCCACATACCAAACCTTACAGTATGCACTTGTTGCCACACCTTAACCATGTTCACGGCCATGCAATTGTGAGAAGAAAATTGACGTATCAATGTCTCGATTCTTTGGAATCACTTGATCCTGGTAGTGAGAACTCGTATCCTTTTGTATACATAGAGGAAAAATATTAGTTTTAGAACCAATTGCTACTTGAACTCGTTCCTTTAGATGATGGTGTGTGGAATCAACCAAAGCAGCATAAAGAATCAAGCATGTCCACAGTATGCGAGCTCAATCTGTGATGCAGTGCTTTCTACGGCCATCCACCACTCATCATCCTCATCCCACACTTGATCCTGTAGGATTCAATCAATTAAAACACAAAAAAAGAACATGATGAAAGATTCTATAACAACAGATAAAGCAAGAATACAAACCTCCTTTCCAAGATCTAGCATTCTTGGCATGTTTTCAACCTTGTCTGCAACTAGCATTGCTTCACGCCACAACTCATCTTTCTGGCAACTGTCCATGCTGTTTTCATCGCCATCTGGCAGTATCAACTCCTGGCTTTCATTTTGGTTGGAGGAGTCAGGAAACACTTCTGGTGGAACAGGACGCAATGGAGATCGATAACCTAAGACCATCAGTTAGTCGTGTGGTGAGATATATTCCAAGGGATGGAACTTTAAAAAGAACATTTAACCATCCAACACGAATTTGCTCCACCTCTGCAATCAGGATCATAACACTTCTGATAATACGCAGCCTTTTGAAGGTCCACCACATACATAACTGAAACATATAAAAAAAAGAGAAACATCTATTTAGATTACATTATTTTGATTACTCCAGAAGTAAATGAAGGTGCTTTTGCTTTGAAATTTTTTTTCCTGTCAGCTAGGTGATCCGTTTAAGGCCATCTCCAATCAATGTGCTGGAATAGATATAGCTACAGTTGATCTCCAACCGATATGCTAAAGTGCTAAAGAGCTAAATAAATGTGCTAAAATGCTTCTTGGTGAGTCATAAATAGTCCATGTTGAAGCTGAAGTAGCACACTTTGAAAGACGGGGATGAATCCCATTTTAACTCAAATAAAATATAATTTTGATATATGTTAATTGGTTGAAAATTTAATGATTAAAATAGTTATAAAACTAAATACTAAGAATTGTTGAGTTAATGTTAAATAAGATATAAAATTTAAACTAATTTACTAAAAGTAAATGATATACACAATAAAAATATTATAGTTAAATAAAATATAAATTCCACTAATTAATTAATCAAATTAATATACACAAAAAATGATTATATTTAAATGATAAATTAATAAATTCATGTCAAATATATAAAAGTGCTATAATTTAGCACAAATAGGTTGGAGATGATTATTAGTGTTAATTCTAGTGAACAGTGCAAATGTGAGTGATAAAAGTTAGCACAAGTGCTATCTTTAGCACTTTCAGTTGGATGTAAAGTCAATCAAGGAGGCTTACTTCAGACGAAAGAACATAGAGACAATGGAAGGTTTGAACTTGACCCTTTTTATTAGCCTTCTCATAAGAGTTGTAAAATTGGTCTAAAATGTATTTACTATAATGTGCCCAAGAGAAATAGAAATAGAGCCTTTTAGTGACTCAAATTTTCATTATTTCAAGTACAAAAATGGTAACTGAACAATGATCACCTAACAAATTCTGAAGTTAAAGTTTATTTGAATTCAAAACAGAAATTTGCAGGCTGCAATTGGCTATTGGTGAGATTATATTGTGAACAAGGGAAATATTGAGTGAAACCAGCCTTGTTAAAGTTATTTTATCAGCAGAGAACATAGCAATGAACTTTATAAATTTACCATGATTGCTTTTATGTTGTCTGCCAATTCTTTCACAAAATCTGTTTCTGGACATGCTGTATACCATCAAGCCATACTCTGAGAACCAATACCAGCTATGAATTTTTCCTAGCAGTGCAAAAACAGGGAAATATCAGTTTAATTGTATCAAAGTTACTCTTTGCTGCAAAGGATAAGTGAAAGGAACTGTCAAAAGGACTTGTAAAATAAGCATCAAGAGAGAAAAGAACATGATGAATATACTGTACGAAGAACAACCTTGTACGTTTCCTATGGTAGCAACATATTCCACAAACTCGTCTAATCTTGGAAATGGTGATTTTCCACTTAAATAACCACTGTGTGTGCAAGCATCCGGCACAAATTCTCGAGTGGATGGTTTACAGAAGGTACTGTTTCTCTGCCATAAAAAGACCATGAAGTAATTAAAGTATCAGTTTTCTCTGCAAGAATTACTCGCCGAATGACAATGATATTTGTGTTGCTTGATGAAGTTACAGTAGGGAAACAGGAGTTAAAAAAAGGAGGCTTGTGAAGAAAAAAATCAACTTGAAGGAGTGCATGCTGAGTGAGCTACAAATTATTGCCCAAATAATAACATTACTCCGTACAAAAATATCAGACAATAGGACAATCAGTTCTGTCTGCATAGGCAATAAAAATGGGAGACATTGCTGAATCATCTAACTTTGCAAGGCCCAGGAAATAGAAGAATCACACACAAATATAAAGACTTGTAGATGAGATTTACCTCAACATCAAAATGCAAAACCTTCACACAATCTAAATCCATTTTGCAGATTAGATTCTTTTCACAGTCTGCATCTATATTGCAGATCAAGGATACCATGAACACATCTTCCTCAGTCTGACATGTAAAATCATTGGTGAAAGTTAGTTATGTGGAATATTACATATATGTATGTATGTATGTATGCATATATGTATGTGTATATATCTATATGTTATACACACACACATAAACATACATACATGCTCCATACTATTTATCAAGAGCATGCAAAGTTCCTTCTCAAGATATTCGTATATGTAATTTAACATGTCATGATACAGACTCTTCTAATTGACCATTAGATTCACAGGCTCCTTGTGCCTGATAGACCTGTATGAATGAACCTACCCCAACCAAGACGAGGTGGCAACCTAACTGATATATAGGACTCACTAATCAAATGTATAGTCAGGATTGAGTTCAGGGGTGTTACAGGTCAAGAACTTCCTTCTACATATACCGGTGTGCAATATAATAAAGCCACAAGTGTCTTTGCTATAGGTAAATAGCAATTATATAAATGTGTTCCACAATTGCTCTTGTATTGTATGACCTCCATCAGCGAACTCCTGACATCAATACAGCTCTATTGCATATCCCCCTTCTCTTAAAAAACTAATTGGCTCATCAAGTCTAGTTTTAAAAAATTGATATATTTACATGCAAGGATTTCAGAATGATACTTCCTCCCTATCTTACCCCATAAACCATTCATGTATGAACTATGAAGATGTGTCTTTTGATAGTAAGGGAGGGGAAAGAATCATCAAGGAGGCATTTTATCAGCCAAGGACATTCCCAGTTCAATGGTCCATTAGCATATTCATTCTTCATTACAATGAATGATCAACCCAAAAGCAAATGTAAAGCATTTCCCAGTTCAATGGTCCATTTGCATATTCATTCTTCATAATGAATGATCAACCCAAAAGCCAATGTAAAACATCTATAGATCGAAGTCCAGCGACTAGATAAAAGTATAAGGATGACCTACACCAACAACTTGGCTTTGAGAAGGTTAAAGAAAGAAATCTCTGCACCCAGTCTTTCCCTTGCACTTCGCAAACAGCCTGTTCCCTATAGTCGAACTTGTGACCTCCAGTGACAAAGGAGAACCTTCCTTGTGAGACACTAATAAAACTATGAGCTAGAAATTTTCAGGATGCAATAGATCTCAATATGATGGAAATAGTATCTTAATGAACATCTTCAGCAGCCAATGTGTCATAACTCAACATAAAATTATAAGCTGGGATCTCTATGCTGGAAAGCACAATTCCCAGTTACAGGAGATGATACCCAGATAGAAGCTACATTGATATGAATATTAAAGACAATGATCAGATTTGTGTAGATAATTGTTTTAACCAATATTGTTACAATAACAATTTTCACTGTATTGAAGTTATTAAGGTCAAAATATTTTAATCAGCATAACACTGGAGGAATAGAAAATTTTGTCAAGATGCAGAATGTCCTAGCACAGGGAGTCAGTCCATACCATTTCTTTACATTTAAACCGTCCAGTGGGTAGAAGCACTGAACTTTTCCCTGCTTTAGATGATAGGTGAAGACGAAAACAACGGTTTCTGGAATAGACAGCAGTGTCAACAAAAAGCTGGCAAGGAACATCAGCAGAGCTTGAATCTTTTGAAATGAATAACTGGTCAAATCTTTTATCCCTTCCTCTTGCACTGTGAATCCGCAAGCATATCTATTAACATGTAACAATTTGTTAAACAAAAACTCGACAAAGAACGGAAAGGGACTTTGAAACATGCCAGTTTGATATATCCATAAACAAGCAAAAATGATAACAATAATTATACCAATATTAACCAAGAAGAAATAAAATTTATACCACACAAATATTAGTATCTAATAAGGGAAATTGCCAGTAGACTACATAACTAAAAGTTGGTGTCTTCTAGATAGCAGAGGACCCTAAATTCATTCTCAAGATTGTACCTACAAAGCCATCGAAAAGAAATAAAAGATAGACCAAAGTATCACTACTTCAGAATGTGTCGTCTTTTCTAGTTAGTCCTTTATATACAAGCAGTCTCTAATGAATTGTGCAAATCATACAAAGCTAATGTACTTTACATGATACCTCATTAACAAATGCACCAACATGTATATTGTCCTTGAAAGCAATCCCTGGTAAGCGGATAATCAAGTGACGAGAAAACTTATCTGTCAACCAAAACACTGTTAGAAATATGGGTAAAAACAGAAATTTGGTAGGCATTGAACGTACTCTAAGAAAAATAACATGCACATCATAATTTCCTACATATATCCTTGTATGTTCACATCAATTCATGTCACTTGTATCCATAGGAGCAAACAAACAAGAAACTAGAAAAGAATATAAAAACTACAAGCAGTCACTAACTTTCTAACAAACCACGCATCATGTTTATGCAGTTGACTAGGTCATAACATGCAGAGTTTCATGGAAAAGTTTTTGCTTTTGAAGTGATGAATGCAACCGCCTGAGTGATACCTTTCGTAGAAGAATCAAGTTCAACAACCCAGTTAGTGTCTCCTTCAATAGCGTACTTCTCAAGCAAGGCTTCAAAAGTAATTAATATGAGAAGATCAACCATTTCATCCCCATTCCTTTCTGCATTTTCTCTTATATTGAACTCCAAGTCAAAATAAAGGTGGCAAGGCAATCCCTGTAAGTACCACCAATTTCATCAAAAATGTATTGGAAAATGACACTTGCCTGAAGCAACAACATTCTCTTGGAAACCTAATGCAGCAGTGATTTTCTTCAAGTAAGCAAATGAAATCCACTTGAAAATGTAAGTAAAAAATAGCATAACCTTAAAAGAAAAAGGTTTGCTGGTAATATACATGGGTATTAAAATCATATTATTTATCCCAGTAAGAATATAGGCGATGAATTTGTGTTGGAATCAATAGGTATTCTTTACCTTTGAAGACAGTAGAAAGAAAGCTCGTGTTTTAAAAAGTCATCCTACCTTCTCAGGTTCCATTATATCGTTTTTGAAATACTCATAATGCTTAAAGGAAGCAGAATGCTATAGTAAGTCCAAAATGGAAAATCAAAATTATTTTGATCCCATTAGTGAAATTGAATGTGTGAATAACTCTGGTTTAATTTAATACCGAGAAACTTTACAAGTTGCATGTAGGCAAAGACTAGTAGCACAGTATTACCTCTTCAATAACTTCATAATGGTGACGGAATTTAGCATTCATGTTTTTGTACCTAGCAATCAGTAGTTAGTAGAAACACAACTCAAAGAAAAAAAGGGTAAACTTATATAATTCACACAACTTATAGTGATTGTCGTAATATGCACCTTCGCCAAAACTCTTTATATGTTGAAACAAGAAACCTTCTTTGTCCACTGGCATGGTCTTGGTAACTAAAAATACGAACACCTACATAATCTTTTGCATACTTCATAGCCTCATCCTGTCTCGGAAATGTAGCCCACACATCCTGTCTATAAGTGTACCACCAAAACAACCAATAAAGCATATTAGTAATGGCTAATAAGTGATAGCACAATTCATCCTGAATAACAAAGAAATGCTCTTAGTAAAATCATCAAAAAACTGCAAGCACCTTGATTTATGTTGAGCAGCGAGTTCAACACGTATCTCATGTAACAACCGCAATAACCTGGCCGGTCTTTTAGGAGGCACGCCTTGTGGAGAACCATAGAAAACAACGGGGGAAAACTGGCTTCCATTATTGAAGTTCCTTTTTCCAACAGTCGGCGTACAGAACTGGAACAAAGCATGCCAATCCATTTGACAAAGCTATAAATTTGATAGGCCATGAAAATGGCTTGTAAAGAGAATGTTCCAAGATGAGGGTCTTATTTTATGTCAAATAAGACTATGTACTTTACCTGTTACCGCTCACATATCTTTGCAAATTTAAAGTGAAAAGTGATGGTGTGGCAGAGGAAGTAAGCAAAAATTCGGCATGACCGGTGGTGCCAAAAGATAGAGAAAAAGGAATTACATTCTGCATATTTGTTGAAGATTGCTGTTTTTTCCCATCTGAACCAGCCGAAGTGAAATCAGTAGAAGTTGATGGATCCTCATGTAATTTCTCTTGCTTTACTTTCTGCTTTTTAGTTTTCCTTCCTCTTGCAGCTGATTCTGAATGAAAACACATTCAAGTATTGGCTTATAGCATAGCACCTAAGAAGCAAAACCAAACGGCAAAATAACAGCTCTACCAGAAAAAATCTGAAAGCACTAAATCAACTTCGTTACAAACTGTTAAAGCTCACAGGATTATCATTGTTCTCCGCTGACTTGCTGAAAATTTAACACTCTATGATTTGGAACATAAGCCTACAATTGACACCAATTCCACTTGATTGAATGAGATCAGTTTATTAGCTTTTATGTCAGTTTCCTTCAAGCAAACCAAAGCAACCTTGATCTTGAGTATGTACTTTAAAGTGAAATTTTGATGCGGATAAATGATGATGCAATTTTACACGATTGTATTATACTTGAAGCTCTGCTGTAAAATTTATTGTCCTGGGCAGTTTTTTTCACCAAATAAATTTGAAATACATAATAGTTTCGGAATTCGAATCAGCCAGTTTGACATCAAATCGAAATAATATCCATACAATGAAATAAATCTCGATTCAATTATTATGATTCTGAGTCCAAATTAGGTCAAAAAACTGATCCACGGAGATGCGTTAGACAACTGTATCAGCTTTGGTGTGGTGCTGAAAATAAAAAGTAGGAAGATCTTACGAGGTGGAGAGATGCCACATTTGAAGCACTCGAACAGGCGATCAACGTCATCCATGGCGGCCGCGTCTGTGTTGTCTTTGAATCAACCATGGGGGTACCATGGGATGTCAGTTTTTGGTGAGCGGGAACCTGCAAATTTTCATTCATATGGATCTTGGATACTACCGAGCACCGACCCGGGTTCTTTTTGTTTGGATACTTCTATCTCGTTTACCTAAATGATTATTCGGTATCTCGTTTACCTAAATGATTATTCGGTAAGTGTTTAACTTAGAAATCAATACTATAAATTTATTTTATTATGTAAGCTTGTAATACATCAAAATATATTTTATATAACAATTTACTTGGTAAGCGCTTACCCGGATAAGAGCAGGCCTGTTCTTGACATTTTTTAGACCCTGGGCGAACGTAAGAACAAGGCCCCCTGCAAGAAACAAGGTTTTTAGCAACGACTTTTGTCGTCGCTAAATGTCCATTTATCATCAGAAAGAGTACACCAACAACATGTCGACGCTATAACTTGTGGCGGAAACATGTTATCGTTAAAAGGCGCATCGTCAAAACTCATTTTTCTTGTAGTAACATTCGGTAAGTACGAAAATAAATTCAATAAATGGTTTTTATTAGTATAAAATTGAGTACAGAAAATGTTAATAATTTACTGAGGAAAGAAGTCTTATTTATCTTTATTATATATATATATATATATATATATATATATAAGAGTACTTAAATTTACGTACTTCTTATTAGGTAATTTAAAACCAAGAGTATAGAAACTATGGTTGATATTTTTTTATAAAAAGTAAGAATTTTTTTAGTTCAGTTCATAACAAGAAATATGTGTTATTTTGATATAAAAAGATAATTCGTGTGAATGAAGTAATCATTAGAGTCAATGAGAGATCAATAATAAAGAAGATTATCAAGGTTTTCTTGACAAGTAAACAAATGAGGATCAATAAAAATATAAAAGAAAAAAAATGATCCATTGAGATCCAGTAAGAATAAATAATGAAATTAACATATAATATACAAGCTCAACAAATGATTGTTTGAGCACTTAAATAGAATCTTATGGTGTGGTGGAATCTCAATGAAAGATACATAAGTCAAACAATCGATGAAAACATTTAAATTATATTTTCCTTCTTTTTTTGCTCAACTAAAATAAGATATTAATATTTTTTTTTATTAACCTGGATATCCAACCTGCTATGCGAGCCGACTAATCCCAGGACGACCACCTGCTTTGCAGATAGCCCGGAGTCACCGCATTTGAACCTTCGTAGCCATAAGGGGATTTTTATTCCTCCTTGGATTTGAACTTGAGACCTCCTGGTACTTTTGACCTTTGGAGCCAAACTCAAACCAATCAGGCACCACCCTTGTGGTTAAGATTAAAATTTTATGGAACATGACATATATAAGAGACATTACTAAATACATCTAGTAGAAAAAATTTATTGATTAATCACAAAACCATGAAACAAGTCAAAAATTATAAGAACAATAGATTGATTGTCAAATAATAGTAAAATATTTTATGTATAAGCAAAAATAGATAACAATAGTCAGTAAAAACAATTAGAACAAGATAACCAAATAGCAATAGTCAATAAAAGTATAAATTGATAAAATATCCAAAAAATATATATAGCAATAGCAAGCACATGATCTTAACTTTGAATTATTGAAGTACGAAAACAGTCAAGTTTTTAGAGATAGCAATAGCCAATATCATTGGACCTTGTTGGAGATAAAAAAAAGTAGAGAGGAAATAAACAATAGCATATAATGAATGACCAATTATTTTTTTTTCTTCTCCAATGTAATTAGTTGATATATTTTTAAGCCCTTATTTTCTACTAATTTTTTTTTGTCTCTAATTATATGTTACAATTTTTGGATTTCTTTAATTTATTAAAAAAATTTAGACTACTGTTGTAATTTAGGGAAATTTTTGGGCCCCTGATATTTTTGGGCCCTGGGCGTGCGTCCGGTGTCGCCTTCCCCCAGGGACGGCCCTGGATAAGAGTTGTCACCCTCACTTACCGGGTAAGACTCTCCATCTTTATCATCACTCTTACCAGATAAGATTTTTAGTGATTGTCATGTTTATACGATAAGAAAATTTACTCTGCTTCCATCACCATAAGTTAATGTGTTGGCGCTCGAATAACAAGAAATAGGGATCGAAAATCGCAAAACATCGAATAAAAGAATTAATTTTTCAAAAATGTCTGAAAACCCCATATATAACCTAATAAAAAAAACCCATATGTAAAACCTAATCGAAAAATCAAAATTTAAAACAGAAGGATGATTATTTACAAAAGAACCACCAAAATTTTCAATTTCGATTAGATGACGATTACCTGATTTGACGAGGGAGACAATCAGGGTTTAGAGTAGATAACCGTTGAGGTTTAGTCAGGAGCGTCGGAAGTTTTTAAAAGTGATATTTGAAATAAGTTTTTTCTAATGACACGTCACATCCCATTGTCTTCCATGTCATTTCAATTATGACACATTAGCGAGAGAAATAAGTTTAAACGTAACAGGTTACCTAATGTTATAATGGGGATAATTTTTTCAAATTGCATTACTTTAACAAAAAATAATTTGAAAATACATTATTGTAATAAGAAAACCTGAAAATATAATGTTATGATAATTTTTTTTATAAAAATGGGTTACTATTTTCCGCAATTTCTGCCCAAGTAAAAAATCTCTTGTATTTGAAACTTTTTTAGAAAAGAGACATAATTATAAGTTTACTGAAAAGGAAAAGAAAACGAATAGGTTAAAATTCTTATAAACTTATTTCGGTGTAGTATCAGTAATAAACAATTTTAATTGTTTTTATAAACAGCTTATACTGGTGTCAAACAGGTAATAAGAAGTTTTTGAAGAAGTTAAATCATTCTAACTTATAATAAGTTGATAAATATTTTTGTAGAAAAGCATAAATTGTTTCAAATAAGCAATCCCAAACACCCCAAAATTTTATTTCTCTTTCTTTCCTTTTCATTCTCTCTAAAAAAAACACAAAAACACAATCAAAATTTAATACTTATGAACAAGATTTTGTCTTTAAATAATCATATAAAAAAAATGTTTTATTTATCATATTATATATTACGAAAGTGGTTTAAAGAGAACCTCGGAGGGACGGTAACAAAAGAACTCGTATAATCTAAAAAAGTAGACAGTTTAGATTCAATCGTGATCATTCTTATAATCCTCGATTTAGTTTTAGCAAAATGTATCGTATATATCATTCACAATCGTTGGATCAGAATAAATAGATGGTTCAGATGGATTATCTTGTTATTCTTTATATATGTAACGGAATCTCTTGAACATGCCCTTATATTTTATTGCTTTTCAAATCTATCGTGTTTTATAGACAAAATGACGTGAGCGACATAATCAGTTAAATATTCGATAACCTTAAAAAAAATGTGTACTTAAATAACCATTTTTCATAAACAACAACATAGGTGTTGGAATTATACTGCTTTTCATGGGTTAATATAGAATTTTATTAAAGTAGTTAAGAAATTTAACATATAAATATTTGATCGTGGTTTCTAACATCACAATGAACTTGCAAACATATGTCCAAAACGGTCTATTGAATCAATTAAAGTATCCTACAACAATAATAACAAATAAATAAATAAAACGGGTTCACTTCAATTCAGATAAATAATGAATTATGGTTACTAGAGGTGGGAACGGAAAAATAACCTTACAAGAAATTGAAAATTTATGAAAAATCAGATAAAAATATATCAGAATGGATGTTAAATTAATATGCATGATTTAGTGTATTGGTTTTATAAATCATTCAAATAATATGCATGAGTTAGGGGCCGTTTACCAAACGTTTATCCTGATAAGTGCTTACCAAAATCACGATACCTTATCGGATGAATATGTTAAGGATCAAGAATCTTACCTGGTAAGAGCGAGACAAGGACCAAGAGTCTTATCCGGTAAGTGAGGGCGACAATTCTTACCATGGTAAGTGCTTACCGGGTAAATTGTTGTATATGATGCCGTTTTACCCCGTAAGTAAATGATAGTGTTAAATTTTACCGGTAAGCGCTTACCGAATAAGTGTTTGGTAAACGACCATTTAGTTTTGTTGGATTTTATATAGGTCATGGTATTTATTAAATTCTTTAAATGTATTTTGGAGTTTATTATGAATCATTTTGGATTAGTCAAACAAGTGGAAGAACTTATTGGCTTGGATTTGATATAAATTCTCGTTTTGAGATTTTGCCCAACCTTTAATTTTGTGGTGATGATTTTCAAACTTTGTGGTGTATAAGTTGTTTAAATGATGAGTATTTGTATTTTATTGGTTTATGTCGACTTTTTATTGATTAGTCAGATGATTGTTGAGTTATTGGTTTGATTCAAATGAGTTTTGGGGACACTTGTCCTATTTAAATTGCTATATGTTGAGCTTTGATTATGATATGCATTTATGGTGTATTTGTTTAGAAATCACAATCACATGTGTTTGAGTGTGTTGGTAATTCAATTGGAGTCATGTGAGGTAGGCTGTAATGCGATTGATCCATAGGCATAGAGTCGGCTTGTTGGTTTGAAATGAGATAGTTATCCATGTATTGTAGTTAGAGACTTGGATTAATGGTGTTGGTGATTTTAGTGTCACCGGTTACATTTAGTGTAATGGATTTTATACGTGTKTTWCAARGGGATTGAACTTTGTTCTAAAACAAGTATGGAGAGTGTGGAGTGCACGCTTGTATTAGTCTAAGTCGGTCCCGGTAATATTTAGGGGGCAACGCCCCCTGAACGCAAAACGGGGGTCCCGCGGGGTGCGGGGCAGCGCCCCGGCCCGAAATTATATAAGTATAGGATTTATAGTGGAAAATTCTTGATTTTTCTGTGGTATGATTGTGAATCCTATAACTTGGTAACTTCCGTTTTCAGTTTTGAATTTTAATTTCGGATGATCGTTTTTTGGGATACGGACGAACTTTGAAGACACTCTATATTTTTCTCTAG